GTGTAAGTTTAAAATCTGTTGAAAACCCTTCAATAGTCCTTCAGTGTGGAAGGTAAAGAATAGACTTCTGGCCTTCCACTCAAGCTTCTTCATGGCCCGGTGCCAACCCACCTTTCTGGTCACATGAACCATTACCTTTCTCCACAAAGTTTAACTTCACTGAAGTTAAATCACTTGCCTTCATCTAAACATGTTATTCATCTGATTATGTCTCCTTGCCTTATTCTACTCCTACGTGGAATGCGTTCTCGTGAACTTAGTCTTGCCTTATCTAAAATTTCCCTAAAAATCCAGTTATATCTCCAACTGGCTTTCACTTCAATTGGACTTTCCCAGATTTCCAGTCTCTTGCATATGCTTGGTAAATGCTGGTCCAATGAACAAATCCTCATACTACTCTCACATAAATCTTTTTCTTGTCTGTATTCCTATGCTATTTTTTGTTACCTTTTTATGCCATTCAGCGTATCTTTCTTAATACGATCCACTGTGCACATGAATCAAAATGGTCAAATTTTTGAGACATTTTTCATTCTTGCCCTGTTAGACTCCCTACAAAATGTTGAACTTTATATGCGTAAGACACATCTTTTCTTATTTCCACTATTCCTGTCTTACTATCTCAAGGGTAACTACAGAAGACAAAGAGAACGTAGCAGGAACAGGACGGAGAGACAAACATATGAACAAATAATCACATCGCTGCGTGACATGGGTTATTAAAGAGGCGGGGCCAAGACTGCTGTAGCACAGATAAGCCATGGAAGGTTTCACAGCAGAAGGAATCTTTGAGAGCTGGATCTGAAGGGTGGGTAGATATTTGTTAAGTGAGGGAAAGGGAGGCTGACCATTCCAAACAAAGGAAACAGCCTATAAAAACACAGAGGCATGAAAGAACCTGACAGGGTGAAGAGGTTGGGAGGTGAGTGTAGGGGGACGGACTAGAGCACTCGGGGAGGGGAGGAGGCAGACCACGAGGAGCCTTCCTAGCCACCCAGAGCTCTCATCATTTCCCTGGAGGCGCCAGTAAGCCACCGGAGGTTTCCCACAGGTCAGGACACGACCACATCTGTGCTGTGGAAACGCACCGCTGACGGAACACAGAGGGCGGCTGGGAAACGCGGGGCCCGGCAACGCCGCTCCCTGCCTCTGCTTCGCTGTGGTCCTATTTCCACAAAGCCGAATGGCTATAGGTTTTATTCAAAAGACACATGCTAAACTGCCAAGTAAAAGCAACAGAAAGCTGAGGAGATACAAAGGATTTACAAGACTCTGTAAGAAACAAGTATCACAAACAAGATTACTGGAAAGAATTCAAAACCACTTCTTTCTTCCTCATTAAACATTGATAGTCAATCCATTCTGCTTCTCACATAGCATTTTGCTGTCAAAAGCACCCCCCACCTTGGCTCACAGTAAACTGCCCAAAATTTAAAATCAGAAATTTAAGTGACAACTGCACACAGGATGGTAAATTTTCAATTACCAATGAACAGATGTATTTCTGACAGACAACCCTTCCAGAAACCAAAAAAACATGTAAGATTAACTACACAATGCTTTCCACTTTATCTTGATTATCCTCGTCTGTGACCACGCATCTCAGAAGCCTTCAGATCGCTAGCCAGGCCCAGGGCAAGGAGACGCGCTGTGCTGGAATTTGGGGTTGCAAGGAGCCTGAAAGGGCCCCGAGTGACTACCCCATCCCGCCTACGACCCCCCCAGTGGAGGGAGACCCACTCTCTCACGCAAAAGAGTATATTTGATCTATGGCTAAATTAACAGGTTATCTGCAAAAGGTAGGCTGCATTTAACAAAACGACTTTCCACCAGCAAATCTGAACAATAGGTTGAATCCTACAGAAATACAGAGGTATAAATATGAGGCTTAAGCAAATAAAAGAGTTAAGAATAATTGTAAGCACTCCTTGAGAGACCCTAAGGATTTTCATAAATATTCTGAAGGTCCTCAAGGGCAGAAATCTTTTTTTCTATTGGTGTTACAGTAAAGCAATAATGGTTAAGAATATAACTGTGAAATTAGAGTACTTACGTTTGAACTCCTTACTGTATGACCCTGGGCAACTGCCTAATCACACATTATCATGATTTTCTTTTCCTATAATATTAGTATAATAAACATATCTACTTCATAGGATTTTTGTAAGCATTAAATGAGTTAACACTTGTAAAGTGCCTGCCTACAGTAAAAATTCAGTACCTACCAACTTTAGTCTTTTTGGTACTACTAGTTTTCCAATATAATAGACACTCAAAGTTTGGAATAAATTGATCAAAAATAAACATAATTTTATAAACTTCCAAAAATGTTATAAACTTTGATGGGTGTGTTGAAACATTTTTAAGGAATAAAACAATAACCATTTTCTCTTTTATTTAAAGGGAAATTACTTGCAAGTCTATTTTAAAAACTCGATCAATAAGACCTAATTCTGCAGGGGAAAAAGTGAAGAGATTTTTAAGAAGTTAGTTTCTACTTACATCTGGTTTGGAATGCTGAAATATCTTCAAGGGAAATTTTAAGTCCCCTTTAGCTAAAGTTACCAAATATTCTTTTAATAATTCATTAGCCACACCAGGAGATTGTTTCTCACACCGATGAAGAAAGGGAACCATCCATTGGTAGGCACTCGTCACATACTTGTCCTCAGAACACTGAAAATATAATTAACCAAAAACAAACACATAAATGCCTGATTATCCTAGACAACAAGTTCTAAAGCTCACAGAAAATCAGTCTAACGTTAAACCGTGAAAGCCTAGCAGTTTCTACGACAGACTCCAGTTCGGTCCCCACAGGCAGGCGATGCAGGACCATCACCTTGTGCTGGGGGCTTGACGAGCCGATGGCAGTGACAGCACCGAGGCCCCTCCATGCAAGGCCATGATCACTCTGGGGCCCCACACAGCCTGAGCCCAGCTCAGCAAGGCAATCANCAAAGAGAGATTCTATCCCACAAGTGTGTGGAGGGGTAGGGGGTGTGAACAGTCAGAAAGAGACCACAGACTGAGAAAAACTGTGAAACAGAAAAAAGTGGAGACAGAGACAGATGAGCATAAAGAAGCTCTAGAAAGGAGGCACTTGAGGAGAGTTTCACCTTTTAAAATCCCAGAACCACTCTCCCTTTTCTTCTTCGTGTTTTGCCCCTTTACATGCACCTTCATAAAACCAAGTATAATTTTACTCATTATTTCTGAAATTATACTTTTATTAGTTACCTCCAGGGGATACACCTGCATCTCTTAAGAGGTTTCTTCCATATAACACAAATCAATTTTCACTGGGTACTGCAATCTCAGGAAAACAAATGAATACAGAAGAGAAAGGGGAGGTGGTGCGAGATGGAGAGAAAGTGGGGATTGAGAAGAGGGAGGAGGGTGATGAGAGGGAACAAGAAATGAGGGTGGAAAAGAAGTAGTTGGACAAAGACGAGTCAAGGAAGAAGAGAGCACATCGGGCAGCCGGGCCCCCACCCTTACCAGCCCCTTTCAGCCAGTCTGTCCAAGAGCATCAGCTGCAGCCAGCACCCCGACACCCATCCTTCTGGGCTGCAAGGTGACTCTCTGATCAGTGGGCTCAGGGGAGAGCTGGTCCTAACTTTGGGGTGTGTACTTTCTTCCCAGGGTAACCCAAGAATCATCTAAGAATGGCTGGGCAAATTCCCCCAAGCATAAACCCTGATGCCAAGATGTTTTCTTCACACAACACTCAGCTTTTTGTTAAGCCCTTGAAATATCTAAGTAGTTGGAAATTTTAAAACGGTGAAAGACTAGAAACATGATCATTAGGATGACTGCCTAGGTTAGAAATATGCCCGGCAGAAGAGAAAAAAGAGGTGATACAGGGATGAGTGTGAACAAACAGCAATCTCGGTACAAAAACAGCCACAACAGTTCTGGATGCCTTCGATAAATGAGCCATAAGTATGATTTTTTTTTTAATCAAAAAGCTTTCTGTTATGACTAACTTCTCAGGTTTGGAGGACATTTCGTATTTGGTTCTGAGGCACACCTTAGTCAAAGTACACAGGGAATGCTTAAAATTAAAAATAAAACCTACACTGTTCATCAGTAATCTTAGTTTTTCAATGTCTTTCATCTGCTGGAGTTCTTTCAAGGTTAGTGTCAAGTCACAGCCTGCTTCATAAACCAACGCTTCCAGAGTAACCAAATTATCACACAGAACCAGCAAACCAGGAATATTCCGCTCCATTCCAAGTCGAATCAGTGAGAGCGCACAGTCAATCTAAAATGGAAAAGTGACAGTAAGTCTCTGAGTATTGTATCTTACATATGTTCTAAGTAAAATCTTCCAGTATGGAATCTAATTCTTATAATCACTTTATATAAAATCACACCATCAGTAACACGTTTTATTGACTACAAAAACATTGGAGCTCTTTACCAGATCAAACTGTTTCAAAAGAATCAAAACATCAGTAAGAAATACTGAAGATAAATAAAAGAAAGACAACCATCTGAAATTCACAGAACATTACAGTTTAAGAGCAGTTTTACATATATTTGTCTATTTAATTCTCACAACATTAACAAGCAGGAAAAAAGCATGCCTGTAGCTAATTAGAAATACTGACAAATTAATCCTATTTTCACTACATCATTCTGCCCCAAAAAGAAAGTTTTGCTTTTATATATTCCTGTTCAGTACTTATTCTTCCACAGTGCCCCTTTTTAAAAGGCATTCAAAAAATAATTGCTAAATGATTAACTCTGGTAGACATTTTCTCTGACTCTATTCAAGTATTGAGACTTCACTTAGACCAAAATGAAGAATGACTTTCCTATGAATGTTCAGTACACAGCAATCTAACTCCTATCTCTTGATCAGGTTTATGAAGTCACATTTTCTGACTGATGGCAAAAATCATCTAATGTGGCCTTACCCCATGGTGTCTCATACTACACTTTACTTACAGTATTGCAACTAGACTAACAATTATTTATTGATGACCTACTATAAATTGAGCATATTCAAGTTGTTGAGAATATAAAACTGAGTAAGATGAGGTAGGTCTCTTCCTTCAAAGATCTGTCCATCTCGCAGGAAACACAAGCTGGTAAATAAAAGACTGAAATAGAGTAAGGATGATTGGGACGATGGGAATCTCAAAGAACAGGGTGCTCACCCAACCTGAGCGTCACAAAGGTTCCCAAAAGGGGGAACACATGAAATGTGCTTTAAAGAATCAGTGGACATTAGCAGGTGAAGAAGGAAGAAGGGCGGGGTAGCACAGAAGGCAGAGATGAATAATGGTTTGTGAAAGTATCATCAGTTCCTCAAGACCAAAAAGAAGTGACCAAAAAGAAGTTACCAAATGAGGCAACGAGAAACATGGCTGGAGTAGCGGGGAGTGGCCGAATAATAAAGAACGTTGTTTGCTATGCTAAGGAAATTGCAGTTTATAATGAAATACAAATACCACCAAAGGATTTTCAAATGAGGCATGTCATAAATAGATTTATACACTTTGGAAAGAATACTCTGTTCTTATGGAATGAGGAATGAAATAAGAGCGATGTATTATGAATGGACCAGACTGAAAATAGGCAGACAAGCCAGGAGAACTGCAGACCCTCTACAAATGACTAAGAGTGACATCCTGCATAAAGCAATATTTAAGGGACAAACCAAGGAACAGGAGCCACACAGAGGGGCCTAACATGAATGGCTAAGATAAGGAAATAGAAAAACAGGAATAGCGGTACACAAGCCTAAGAAGACGAGATTGCAGGGAGAGGACGCAGCAGTGTCAAGGGACGACGCTGCGCACTAACCAGCGAAGGGCACTGACGTTAACGGGCACACTGGGGGCCTCACCAGTGCCGCCCAGTACAGTGGTCTGGGATGGTGGGGGGCAGCCAGACTCCACAGACTGAGGAGTAAACACACATTGAGGAAGTGATTACAAACAGCAGAGTGACTGTTTTCCAGCTGAGCTGTGATGGGAGGTGGCCACAACAGAAGCCAGGGAGATTCTGATGCTCACCATTTTTTTTTTAAATAAAATAGGAGTGATTTGAACTTTATGTCAAAAAAAGGGCAGTGGGAGAGTGAATAGACACAGCAGAGGTTGAAGATACAGGAGAGAGAGAATAGATGACTTCACCGAACACTCCTGAGCAATGGGAGTGTGGACTCCAGGGCACAGGTACAGAAAGAAAGTAGCTAGAAGGCAGCACAGACCTCTTCCTCAGGGAAAAGCTGGAAAGAGTAAAGGCAAATGGAAGTGATTTCTCAAATGCTCATGAAACACAAGGTAAAAACACTTTCTGTGAATGATGAGGAGGTAGTGGGGAGTAAAGAGAGGGAAAGGGAGCAGCCATGTAATTAAAAACACATAAATATTTTTAAAACCAATATTAAAGGATGACACTTCATGGTAAAAACCTGAAAGCCCTTCTAAGGCCCAGGGATTGACAGGTAAAGATGAAGGAAAAAGAAGAAATGCATCTTGAATTGGGAATAAATGTAAGGGGGGAAACTATAGGTAGGTAAGTCATGAAGCCAAACAGGAGTGATCTGGTAATACTCCAACAGATAAATGTTTTCTACCTAATGCATAGTCATAGGAAATACTGTTCATGTCTGAAAAGATACATCTGTCTGTGGAACAACTCAGGTGAATTTTCAGAAAGCATACAGAAAATGATGCATAAAACACAACTTGGTAAGATCAGGAACAAGACAAGGATGCCCACTCTCACCACTTTTACATAACATACTACTGAAGGTCCTAGCCATGGTAGTCAGACATCAAAAACAAATAAAAGGCATCAATATTGGTAAGGAAAAAGTTCAACTGTCCCTGTTTGCAAAGGACATGATATTGTACATAAAAACCTAAAGAATCCACCCCAAGAATAGTAGAATAACTGAATTCAGCAAAGTTGCAGGATACAAAATTAATACACAGAAATCTGTTGCATTCCTATACACTAATGATGAACTAGCAGAAAGAGAAATCAGGAAAACAATTCCATTCACAATTGCATCAAAAAGAATAATATACCTAGGAATAAACCTAACCAAAGAGATAAAAGACCTATACCCTGAAAACTATAAGACACTCAGGAAAGAAATTTAAGGTGATATCAATAAATGGAAATACATCTCATGCTCATGGATAGGAAGATTTAATATTGTCAAAATGGCCATCTTACTTAAAGCATTCCACAGATTCAATGCAAAAAGACCCTGAATAGCCAAAGCAATCCTGATAAGGAAGAACAAAGCTGGGGGGATTACTCTCCCTAACTTCAAGCTCTACTACAAAGCCACAGTAATCAAAATAATTTGGTACAGGCACAAGAATAGATCCATGCATCAATGGCAGAGAATAGAGAGCCCAGATATAAACCCACATATATATGGCCAATTAATATACGATAAAGGAGCAATGGATATACAATGGGGAAATGACAGCCTCTTTAACAACTGGTGCTGGAAAAACTGGACAGCTACATGCAAGAGAATGAAACTGGATTATTGTCTAACTCCATACACAAAAGTAAACCCAAAATGGATCAAAGATCTGAATGTAAGTCATGAAACCATAAAACTCATAGAAGAAAACACAGGCAAAACTCTCTTGAATACAAACAAGAGCAACTTTTTCCTGAACACATCTCAGGCAAGGGAAATAAAAGCAAAAATGAACAAATGGCACTACATCAAACTAAAAAGCTTCTGTACAGCAAAGGACACCATCAGCAGAAGAAAAAGGCATCCTACAGTATGGGAGTGTATATTTGTAAATGACATATATGACAGGAGGTTAACATCCAAAATATATAAAGAGCTCACATACCTCAACACCCAAAAAGCAAATAACCCGATTAAAAAATGGGCAGAGAATATGAACAGACACTTCTCCAAAGAAGAAATCCAGATGGCTAACAGGCACATGAAAAGATGCTCCACATCGCTAATTATCAGGGAAATGCAAATTAAAACCACAATGAGATATCACGTCACACCAGTTAGGATGACTAATATCGAAAAGACAAGGAACAACAAATACTGGTGAGGATGCAGAAAAAGGGGAACCCTCCTACACTGTTGGTGGGAATGTAAATTAGTTCAACCACTGTGGAAAGCAATATGGAGGTTCCTCATAAAACTAAAAGTAGAAATACCATTTGACCCAGGAATTCCACTCCTAAGAATTTACCCAAAGGAAACAAGATCCCTGACTGAAAAAGACATATGCACCCCTATGTTTTTGCAGCACTACTTAACAATAGCCAAGATATGGAAGCAACCTAAGTGTCTATCAGTAGATAAATGGATAAAGAAAATGTGGTATATATACACAATGCAGTAATAGTCAGCCATAAGAAGAAAACAAATCCTTCCATTTGCAACAACATGGATGGAGCTAGAGGGTATTATGCTCAGTGAAATAAACCAGGCAGAGAAAGACAAGTACCAAATGATTTCACTCATTTGTGGAGTATAATAACTGAAAGAATAAAAAACAGCAGCAGACTCACAGACTCCAAGAAGGGACTAGCAGTTATCAAAGGGAAGGGGCTGAGGAGGGTGGGTGGAAAGGGAGGGAGAAAGGGATTAAGGGGCATTATAATTAGCACACGCAATATAGGTAGGTCACGGGAAAGGCAGTATATCCCAGAGAAGACAAGTAATGACTCTAGCATCTTACTACATTGAGGAACAGTGATTGCAATGGGGTGGCAGGGGACTTAATAATATAGATGAATGTTGAAACCACAATGTTGCTCATATAAAACCTTCGTAAGATTCTATATTAATGATAGCTTAATTGAGAAAAAAAATTTTGGTGCTATAGTTTGAACACATAGCACATTAGCAATTTGTAATATCCTCACCAATTTTATGATCCAGCTTCATCTATTATCAACCTAAACTTTGTTGCTTTTCCAAATACTTACTGAAGTAAAAATTTTTTCAAATCAAAGTTTTGACACATTAAATCAAAGTAGGCTCTAACACAACTTAAGAATTATACCATGTATCCCAAGTCTTTAATAGGTATATGTCACCACTCTACCCATTTTTCTAAACCAACAAACAAGTTCTATTAATGGCATCTGCAGGTACTAAGGAAAAAGAAGTTCCACATCAATTAAATCTCTAAAAATGAAAAGGATAACACTATGCTAGATATCACTTTGATTGTAGCATAAGCCACATGAAGTGTCAATACATCAAATGAAGCTAAAGAACAACATGTCTATTGGAAATGTTTTTAAATAGAGATGAAGAATACAAGGCAGCTAAAGAAAGCACCTCAAGCTTGCTTTTCTTTATAATTATACCTAATTACTAAAAAAAAGACTTCAACATGTCTGTCTAGGAATAATTGCTAGACTATTAAAAAAACTTAAATTTCAGAAAGCACTATAGTTTTTTTAGCACTTTTTTAGAGTTTAGGTTAACAGCAAAAATGTGCAGAAAGTACAGCAATTTCCCAAAAAACCCATTCCCACATACATACAACTTCTCACATTACCAACATCCTCCACCAGAGTGATATGCTTGTTGCAATCAACACACCTATACTGACACATCATAATCACCCAGTGTCTACAGTGCACAGCGGGGTCCGTTCACTCTGGGTGTTGTACATCTATGGTTTTGGACAAATGTGTCCATCATTATGGGACCACACGGAGTAGTTTCACTGCCTCAAAACTCCTCTGTGCTCTGCCTATTCATCCCTTCCTCCACCCATCAAACTGGCAACGAGTGACGTTCTCACTGTCTCCTTAGTTTGCCTCCCCCAGAATGTCACATAGCTGGAATCATACAGGCAGGACACAGCCTTTCAGACGGGCTGCTTTCTCTCAGTAATTTGCATTTAAGGTACCTCCATGTCTTTTCGTGGCTCAGTAGGTCCTGTCTTTTTAGCACTGAATAAATAGTCCATTGTGTGGTTTTACCAATGTTTATCTATCCATTGGCCTACTAAGAGACATCTTGGTTCACTGATGGTAACAAATGTAACATTCAAATGCAAGGTGTTACAACAGGGATAACTGGAGGGTAGTGAAGAGGTGAGAGAGACTACATAGAAACTCTACTTTCTACTTAATTTTTCTATAAACCTAAAACTCATCTAAAAATACAGTAAAATAAATAAATTAATAAACAAGTATAAAAAAATGGTAATGTATTTCACATTCCAGTGTGGCTCTTTTTCTTTTTGTTACTGTTGGGGTTTTTTTTTGTTGTTTAAAGCTGAATAATGATTGAAACTTGGGTTTCAAAATATTTAAACACTATAAATTGGGGAGTTCTTACTGATTTTGGATATGCATGAGGCTGGATGCCTAGCACTTTATACAGAGACATGAGAAATTTCTGAATTCTCATTACTAGCTCAAATGACAGAACTACCTAGAAATCAGGGCTTTTTTAAGTACATATAAATACATACATACACACACTTTGCTCCTTATTCTTGAAAAGCTGTATCTAGTTCAACTAGGAAACCACAAAGTGCTTAGACAAAACTAGTCCAAATAGAATCCTTTATCTGGTTATCAAGAGACACTATTTAATCACATGCATTTGTAAAACTCTTGTTACTCATATGCCACCACTGGAATCTTAAAACATGTCTAGATACATTTTATACAACCTAAACTTACCTGTACAACAACCTGCCACACTGGCTCAACCAGGAGTTTTCCATCAGTTATTACCAATTGAGTTTCTCCTGTATTAAAAATAATGTCTTTGCTTAGGGTGACCAATTTGAACTGGTCATTTTCAGATGCAAGATACTAATCTAAGGCCACAGCTGTCAGTGAGAGCAGAACTGTCCGCCAGGGGGCGTTCTAGAAATCTGAGAAGGCATTTCTGCCCATGGCAAGAATCAGTGGCAGCTACTGACACTAAGTGGGGGAAGGAATGCTGGATGCCTCACTGTGTACAGGGCAGTTCCACACAACCAGCTTGTCCTGATTCCTGCCAATCTTTCAGACATCCTGAAAAACCCAGTAACAATTGTCAGTCTAGATCTCAAGTTCGTTTAACATTACACACAATTCTTTTTTGTATGGCTTAATTTACACAGAATTCTCCTGGAATGCAGCTACTACATAATCAAGAGAAGATTTTACTTTGTTATGTTAAGAATTTTTACCATGAGTTGTTCACATCCCAGACAGCAGTTTGTGTTATTTAACCCAACAATAAACATACCTTAATCTGCAATTTCAGCTATTTTATTCAAAGTGATTTCTCACTGACTCTACTTCCTAATGTTGCAGTTACGACCAAACATTTACATATTTAACTTATCTTCTATATTGCAGTTAAGTTCTCACAGTACGTTTTTGGAAATTATTTCTGTAAATAAGATATATCTGTGATTTTCATATCAGGATAAGGAAGCTTTACAGAATGTTTGCTACAAGAAAGATACTGGGGATCTAAGAATTGAGAACCACTTTTTTTAGATTAATACATCTTGTTCTCAAGTATTATGATTTGTGTAATTGTTCATTTTTATTTGCACTCTGTAATATCATACCTGGCATTTGTCTGTTCTGTCACTGTGCGTCCCTAAGCAAGTTGTCACTTCCCTCTTTGTGGACCTTAGCTTATCTATTAGTAACACAGAATTAAACTAGATAATCTCCAGAGATTCTTTTTACTCTATATCTTAGGATTCTAAACATTTTCAAATTCCTTTGCTCCTTTATCGATATTTAAAAGCCCAGAAAGTCAATCATAAATATTTTTGGCCATCGCTCAGTAAGTTTGGTCTACAACATTCCTGTCAGTTCCATCAAATAATTCATCTTCAATTCTATGAACACCAAAAATAGGAAGTAGGTTAAGTAGAAATTCAAGAAAGCTATCAAATGGAGGTATGGCCAAATACAGTATGTGGAAATTTAAACAAAGGGGTACATATTCCTTCCAGCAGTACTGCTGCTCATCAGACCCCTCATAATCACTGCTGTCAAATAAAAACTTGAGGGTGGTATAGGTAGGTGGTCCATAACCAAGACTGTAAGTAGAAAGCAAGCCATCCACTGGCCAGACCCTGAATGAGATATCCAAGTACACTCTGCCATTTTTGGCTCTGAATTGCCAACTTCTGTTCTCTCAGATGAAGACAACTATTGTTTACACAGCAAAACACTCAATTAGCACAATTTGTAATGTTCTCCCTTGTATATTTTCCTTGCTCTCATTGACTCTGGTGACCTCGTGATAAAACCAAGGTACATAAAAGGTAAAAAAAGATAAATAGCAGGTCCACAGTCACAAGGTTTGTTAGTGGAAGAGTCAAGATTAGTGTTCAGATATCCTAAGCTTCTGCACAATCCTCACCTCTCTCTTCCACCCCCATTTCTGATGCAGTTGTTATGCATATTATGTACATATGTGTGTGTGTTTCCTGTATGTACGTGCACACTTACAAGATAAATGGGACATTTTTTTTGGATGCTTAATTTATTTTCCTATTAGTTCTCCCAATTTCCCACTTAGAACGGACAAAAAATCAAAAGAACTATGCCACAAATCAATCAAAGGCACACAGGAACTAGGGGAAATTAGGCTAGGACTTAAGGAAAACATTTGAAACAAAACCTCAAACAGGGTTCCTGAAAGCAAAGTAACAGTCAACTCAATTACTGCAATAATACAGAAGACTAATCAAGCATTTGTAGGTTGACACAATCTTTTACATTAATATGGTATTAAGCCTATTAAAAATATATGGAAAATCTGAGATAGTATGTACTCTATTTTGCAGCTTACATTTTAATGAAAAATTTAGAACAACTTACCTTGTATGTATTTGTTCTTTAAGAATCCCCAGCCCCCCAAAAAAGCCAGAAAAAGCTTCTAAGGCAAAGGATAAATCAACAAAGGTAATAAGAAATATTCATTTGATCCTTTGCAAACTGTACACATGCTCTCTGGCACCACTGTCAGCAGCCACTACATGCACTGAATCCTAAGGCCCCGAAACAGCACTGTGGCAGCCCTGGGCAGCGGCTGTCATTTTCCACTCACCTGTCGAGCATGATGCTCTATTTCCTCTGCTCTGGTCTGATACCAGTCCATCACCTTCTCCACTGCCAGCTGAGGTGTCCTGTACCTCAGTAACTCAGGCTGTGCAGCATATAAGAATTCACTTTCTTCTTGGAGACTTGGCTCCACCACTAGTCTGCAAAGCAAAAAAGGAACAATAAGTAATGATTAGAATGAAAGAAACAGGGACAGAGACCGGGAAAGAGTGGTTACAGAGAGAGGGATATGTGTGTGGGGGTGGGTGTATTTGTGTGTATGTTTCCTATATGTATGTGCACTTATAAGACAAATGGGACATTTTGGGGATGCTTATTTTCCTGTTAGTTATCCCAGTTAAAAAAATCAAACTCAACAAATCAAAATAACTATGCCACAAATAAATCAAATAAGGATTAGTAAAATCAAAATCATCCTGGGAAGCTGTTACAAAATGCACATGGCTGACTGCTTACCACAGACCTCCTAAATCATAATTACCTTTGATGGTCAGCCATGCCTAGTTTAGGAAAATCACTCTCAAGTGATTCCAAATCAAATATAAATTAAGAAACCTTGTTTTCCATATCATATTGATAAAAATGAAGGAAATGTAATCAAAATGAAGGAAAGCCTTATTTATAAAGGAAAGCCTTATTTATAAAAGAAAGCCTTATTTATGTTGATAATGTACGTTTAATAACTGTCAGCAGCATAGAAGTGCACTGACATTAGCAAAATATGAAACTATACCCCTCACCAGCAGGAGTGAAAAAGACACATTTAGAGTAATGCACACAGGACTAACATAGTAGGGATCACCAACTAGGAGTTCTTCTAGGGTGATCCTGGCCAACTGCATTCGACAGTTAAGGACCAAAAAAGGAAAAAAAAATAAGATACTTCAGAGAGACATGGGGAAATGCTGTGTTCCACTAGGGACATTCATCAAAGTAAGCTGGCAGTAAATGACAGGTGCTGTAACTGTTATGAATATTCAAAATACAAGGACACAAAGAACACTTTCATTTCTATTTATGGGTATTATTTTTACTGGAATTAGTATAATATATGTGTAATATATCATATATATTATTATAACATATGTAATATATGACCAGACCCAAGCACATAAATACTGGACTTTTAAGTCAGATGTCTTAGGTAACCTACTGTGCTTGTCATTGGTAACCCTTTACTTAATTAGTCTCACAATTGACATGATGTTCTGTCCAGTGATTTTCCACATCATTGCCACAAAAAGTCACATGACTTCCTTTAAAGCTCTCATTCCAGCAGGGAAAAATACCCATGAGAACTGAGTTCCTCTCATATTTTTTTCAGTCCTTACCTTATTTCCTCCTCAGAACTTAATCGCTGTGCTTCCAGAACCGTGCCCTTCCCACTGCAGCCCAGCACACTGCCTGACCTCGCACATCTTTCCCACTGTCCCTTTTCAGTCCTCTTTACTGCAATCTCCTGCCCCAGCCAGCCATTCATGACTAGCCCTTCCAAAGGCTTAGTCCAGCTCTCTCTTCTCACTCTACATTCTCTCTAGGTCTTGCCTTCGACTCTACTATATAAATTACCAAAATGTGATACCTACCATATTAGCCTCCTAACCCAGACTTCACTTAGAAGCTCCAAAACTTTCCTGCTATTTGCTCTCAGCTATTTCACAGGCACTTCAAATGCAACATCAAAACTAAATTCATGGTATCTTCAAGTAACAGTTTTAAAACAGAAACCTAATTACATCATCCCATGCCTACTAGCCTCATTTTGGTGCCAAGCTCACTTGTGTCCTATATACTTCAACAATACTTGTCCTACTTTCAGACCTTGAGGGGGGCCTTGCCTCGAGCCTTCCAACATGTCCTTCCTGCTTAGAACACCTGCTCCTCGCATTTCCAAATTCCCCTCCACTGAGCTGGATCCTGTTCACCCTTCCAATCTCAGATTCTACATCACCTCCCCAGGAAAATCTTCCTTGCCCTCTACCAAGGTAAGGTCTCCCTATTATTGGCCCCCAGGCCCCCTGCACTTCTCCTTCCTAGCACTCAGCACATTAGTAATTTATAGCAGCACCATCTCTCCTGCTGGATTACATACTTCATAAGTACAGCATCTGCTTTTCTTCAATATTCTTGACTCTAACAGGGGACAGACACTAATTAAATAAGCAACAGGATATGCCTGTACTACTGAAAATTTCTATCATCTTCAAAAGCATCTTGTCCTCCATCAAACTTTTTCCTGGCTTTTCATTTTGATAGTTTTAGGAGTTCCATCACAGCAAACTTTGCTTACAGTTCAGTTTGCTGTGGTTTGTGGGAGCAGAAATGCCAATCATTCCTTTTAACTACTTGGTAGGACCATAAAAAGGCCCAGGCTTAGGAGAAAGGAAAAGTATCAGATGAGTGGGTCAGGTGCTCTGCCAGGGCTACTCTGTCAAAAACACCATCTTAAACAGAGAGAACCTGTTGTCAACAAGATCAGCAAATCTTTCCTACCACCATATCCATGGCATCAACCTCCCACCTTCTTCAATATATCTACTTCTTCATCCTCTCATTACAATTGGTGCGTGAGGACTGCTAGTTAAACATGGCTGATAAATACCAAGCCATTAAGCTCTACTTTCTTCTGAAAATCCAAAATGACAGTAAAAGATCTTTAAAAGGGAGTGAGGGGGTGGGGGAGCCATGTATAACATAAACCCTCAAGGAGGAGTGGGGTACACAGAATAAAAAGAAACTAAGCCATTATCTTCCATTCTAGGAAGCCAACAGGTAATGGCCAGAACTGAAAAGTCAACAAGTAGCTGTATCATTGCTACTCCAAAGACATGGAGTAAACATCAAAACAATCATCTAAAAGAATTAAAAGTAGTTGTTGCTGGAAAGCAGGATATGGGGGAAGAGGAACAAAGGGCTGTGAGTTTTGATTTTTTTTTTAACAAGCTTTGAAGAAAATCTTAACTCTATTTGCAAATAAATACAACTTTGATAAAAAATTAAAATTAAAATTAATTTTTAAAAAGAGAATAATAGCAAAAACACAGGACATTCGATTGCTATTACACTAAAACCTACTGGAGTGAAAAAGGTAACTAAATGTTACGTATTTTATTAACTCAGATATCAACTCAGGTATCAAAAATGCCAGATACAAAGGAAACCACCAACATAAAAGGCACTTCCAAATTTCACTGGCAGTGATCACATTACTGGTCAGGGCTTTTATTTATCATTTATCAGATAGACTGTTACATACACACATTTTCAATAATCCAAAAGCATGAAAAGACTCATATCAGATAAAAAGCCAGCAATCCCATACACAGTGCCCGCTGCCACCATCCTCTACACCGTGCTCAAGTCTTTCAGCCGTCTTCCTGACCTTTCCTCCACGTATCTGAACAATGTGTGTTTGTGACAGTTTCCTGATTTATCTCCTTAAGATTTAGCTGGCGTAGCCACAACCATCTACTTCCCCTATGCCTTTTCCTCCCATTACGGATATATATCACAATTTGGATTAAATGACTAATCATATCATATGATTATGTGACTGTGCCTTCTGCTGAGCCAGGCGGTCCACCACTAGGATAACTTTTCCTCTTCTTGAACACTCTGTTTCCTAGAGTTAACAACTGCCTATTGTCCTCCCATCCCTCCCATTACTTAGATGTATCCATTGCAATCTTTTCCATATTCTCTAAAGATTTATTAATAGCAAAACATAAAAGTATTTTCCAAATGGCCAAATACATCAAATAATATATCAGTTCTATTTTTAAATTTTACCAAGAAACCCAGCTTAGTCTGTGTTGGCTATGTGCCCACCCAGGGCCTTCCGTCCACTACTGCGTCTGCTAGAACCCTTTTCTGAATCCAATGACTTTTTTCTTTCCCTTCAATTTACTCCCTCATTTTAATAAAACACACCCTATAATGGCTTCCTGAAATGAGAATGTACATGGTTGTTAATTTTATAAGATACCTGATTGATGATTTTAATTAGATATAAAAGTCTAGATGGAAAGTATTATAGCCTTCAATAGTTTGAAAGGATTGCTCCATTGTCTTCCAGCTTCTAGTCTTCTCCTGGAGATGTCTGAGACCAATATTCTTTTTATGTGACATGTTTTTCTCTCTGGAAGACTTCATCCGTGATACTCTAGAAAGCCTTGATGACATGCTTTAGTACAGTGGACATTTCAATCTGAAAATTCATTAAGCTTCAGTTCTAAGTAATAGGCTCAAATTATTTCTTATAATTTAACACTCTATATAATCTATGTCATCTCTTTTTAGAATGCCTGTAATCTGAATAGTAAACTTGTTTTTAATCTTTGCTCTCTTGTTAAGTTCTGTAACATTTTTATTCTAATCTCTAGAAAAGTCTTTGCTTTTATCTTCTATCTTCTACCTAAATTTTTATGTACTACTTATTATTTTTTGATTTTCCAAAGTTCTCCTAGTTCTCCATTCCTGTTTTATAAAATCCTATTGCTATTTCACAAATGCAGTATCTTCTCTTATCTCCTGGACAAATTAATTACAGTTTTGAAGTTTTCTTTGGCATGATCTCTGCCATGTTCTCTCTCAGTTTGTTTGCCTTTCCTGTCCAACTGGTCTGCCTGCTGGAGTCAATCCTCAGATGTCCAGGGAGCTGCACAAGTGGGGAAAGACCTTTTCATTTGTTGGCTTCGCTGTGACCCGGTAGTGCGTTAATCTTTTAGGAACATCTCTCAGTACCTAGAGGCCTCTTTTCAGAGGCTATTCCATTTCTTTAGAAAAGAAATCTCTAAACTTCTACTTGGAAAACATGCCTGCATTCTGGAAGCAGGGAGGGGAAAGGGAAGCAAAAGTTCAACACTCAGGACAAAAATTTTCACTAAATGCCCAGATTTTCAACCCCACCATTCCACCATCACCCTGTGCTGTGCCCAATGTCCAGGAATCTAGAGGCTTTCTGGATCAGTCTACAGGCTCAATTCGTAAGTCAAAAAAAATAAACCTCTGATCTCATGTGGGAAAATATGGGAAGACAAACAGTGCAGGCTTATACACCTGCCTTTGAGAAGTGAGGGATAAAGAGATTCTAACGCTCCTCACATGGACATTCAGCCCCACCCTCATCTCCCGCCCTCTTCTGCAGTAGTGGATGCCTCCACATTCTCAGGCTTTCCCAGGTTACGTCTTATTAAAACGAAAATTAGAACTGAATCAAGAACAAAACTGCATGCATACCATAACAACAACTATGAAAAATACATCTGTACACATCAAAGACTGAAAGGGGGTACCTCAAAATGCTGTATAAGGATCATAATTTAGAATATTTCCTTTTTAGCATTTAATATTGTTACATTAAAAAATGTTTAACATAACTGAGCAAACTCAAACTCTCTAAATCAGGGACAACCATCAAGTAAGTTACCTTGCCCCACCCACCACTTCCGCAGAGCCAGCTATTTATCCATCCCACACAGAAATGAAGACCCCTCCCCCTGGTCATTCTTACCTGCACTCCAACTCCTCGCACCAATCTTTATCTCGGTGTTTATGTTCATGCCAAGGAATGATCATCAAGGAGTCACCATTATAACTTAAAAAAAAAAAAGACATAAGCATTTAAAATAGATATTATTTCAATGACTGGCTACACAAGGAACATGATGCAAAAAATATCTCTAGAACTTTAAATGTCCAAGATTCCTGTTTATGGTATGTTAAGTGGTACATGACACATACTGCATACAATATTTAAATAGAAAATACCAAATTGCCAATTTTTCTATTATAAAATGTTTCAAAGAGAAAGGAAGAATTCAAAACAAAAAATTTGGCAAAGAACTAAAGTATGACATGGTGTGTATTCATTCACACGTTCTAAAACATTTATCATGAGCCTACATTTTATGTTAATACCAACATAAATGTTCCCTTGTCCTCAAAAAGCTTATAATCTAACTTCCTCTGATCAACAGAAATGTTGTATAATATGTTATTCAATACAGTAACCACTAGCTACATGCACATTATTAAGCACTTAAAATGTGGCTACTGATACTAAGAAACACAACTTTAACTGTATTTAATTTTAATAAATTTTTAGGTACCTACATGTGGATAGTGGTTACCATACTAAACAGGAAAGGCCTAAAGAGTAGGTAATAGTAAGGTGAAGAAATGATTTTGTAGGTTAAAAATATCACTGAATGATCAAAAGGTATAAATTTCTAGTTGTAAGTCAAATAGTGCTAAGGATGTGATGTACACACGATGGCTATAGTTAACACCACTGTACAATACATAGGAAAGTCGTTAAAAGAATAAATTCTAAGAGTTCTCATCACAAGGACAAATTTCTTTTTCATTTATTTTATCTTGTATCTATATGATATGATGGAGTGAACTGAACTTATCATGAAAGTCATTCCACAATATATGTAAATCAAACCTTAAACTTATACAGTGATGTATGTCAATTTCTCAACAAAACTGGGAAAAAGATATCATTAAAAGATTACAGCATGAGAATCTAAAAGACAACAGCAACAGGCAAAAGATAAGGCCTGACTGGATGGAATTAAGTATAAATTACAAGGAAAAGTGAGGTAAAGACAGCATAGTGTGTTAATATCGCAGAGCAATGTCCTATGAATCAGGAGGCAAGGGAAATAGTCACACATCTGCCTTTCAATTAATCAGCTCAGCAGTGTTTGGCATGTGACTTTCTACAGTGAAGCACTTCAGATATTATCTTCAAGGACCAATTAACTCTAATACCAATAAAACCACGAGACCAACTGAAACATTCTGAATTAAGAATAAAGACACAAAAATGTTTTAATAAATTTCAATTACTTTGCTTTTATAGTTCAATAAAACATTTTCTGTCATATTTCTGATTATCAATAGTAGCACTCATCTAAAATTTATCATAACCCCAGATAAAGGATTATACTTTCTTATATCATGTTTTGCACATTTCTTATCTTACTAGGTTATGAAACATGCCTTGTACAAGAAACACTACATAAATGCTTGAAAATAATGTCAGTGAAGAGATTAGTCCTTGTGTAAAAGATGATAGGAGACCACTAGACCGATGGTTTAAAAGTAGAAAAGGGATGTTAAAAGGTCTGGAAATGGGTAGTGCTGATACATCAATGAATGATTATTATTATTGGTGCAAACTATCCAAAATTCCTTATGAGACAATAAGTAATTATTGTAACATATTTTAAAAACACAGTATTCTATCCACTTTTTAGCTAGCAAGTCATATCCAACGAACTACATACCAGATGTACATTTTTCAAGCATTTGAGTTCACATTTTAAAAATTTCTGAATTACACAGGTGATTCAGAATAGATGACACAACCACACTATTTTATTTGTCACAAATAAAAAAGTGTTATTTTCTTCCATGTAAATAAATAACATTTTAGCCTAGAGCACTGTTAAAGTAAAAAAAGATAACAGATAGCTCAATAAAATGTTTTCTCTCATACTTGTGGTGATGATAATAATGATGACGCTAATGCTCACTCCTCCACCAGAAGATTAACAGCAGTGAACTCAGGAACAAGGAAGGAGAATAAACCTAGCAAGCTATTTACTGCCTTTTCTAATTAAAGCAGACATAGGTCCTTAAAGTACACAAAATACCCTCTAAAAAAGAATTTTAGACATTACAAGGGTTATTGCTAAATGATTATAATGGTGTGGGACCTTCAGCAAAATAATATCAATTCAGTATTTAAAGACTAGAAAGTTGCCAAACTTTGTTGAACTTCATTGAACAGAAATGAGGAAGAACACATACCTGTTTTTATCAAAATACATCTTAAAGACAAGTCTGGTCAGAGGCCCACTACAAAAGGTAAGCCTGAAGAGTCCTGGGTTAACAAAGTATTTCTGCTGCGTTTTCAAGGCAAAGCACAATTAACTGTTTCTAAATGAGCTGATCGTCACTCACGTGATAGTACTGCCAGCTGGGTGTCAGCCATGATCTGCAAGAAGATTGGTCTTTAACATTTATTGATATCATACTATGGACCAGACAGGATGAAATGCTTTTAACATGTAATACCTCATTGAGTCCTGGCCATCTAATACAGTAAGGGATATTATCTTCCTGATATTATAAGAAAACTGAGGTCTAAGTTAACTTGCCCATCCTTATAAAACTAATAAATGACAGAGCCAGAATCCCAAGCTTCACTTCTAGTTAGCATACTACCCTGCTTCTTGAAAGGACACAGGGCTTCAGTGTAGCACCCTATCACAAATCCATCCCCATTTCCACTATTCCCCTGCTTCATACAGTAGGAGCCACCAGGTTACATATGTGTGTATTAAGTAGAGGGTAATTTGAGTCTCTCCAAAAATTTAATTCAGACAACCCAGTAATGACCATTTACATGCATATTTAAGCTAAGATATAAAATCGATCTCAACAGCAGCAGATAACTATTACCATGAAACTAACTTCTACCAAATACGGCTTGCTCTTAGTTTTGATTGCCAACATTTACATAAAAACAAAAAACAAAACTTTCTTGCTGCTAGTTTCATACAGGATATTTCTACAAAGCAAATTATTTTTATACAAATTTGGGGAGTTTAAAATGCTTGCTGTAAAAACACCATAAGTCCTCTATCATGCTTCAAATTACAGCATTTAAGGAACAACAAAATCTCCTTCCCAGCCACAATATAAATTCCTTGAGGGCAGAATTTTTGTTTGTTTTGTCCATTTCCATGTCCTCAATACCTAAATTAGTGCCTGGCACTTCGCAGACTCTATAATAATGTGCCAACTGAATTAATTAATTGACAGCACAAGATTTTTTTTTAAGTGATCTCATAAGTATCACAAAAATTCAAACTTGGATTAGGGCAATGAAAGGGAATAGTTCATTAAAAAAACAGTGGTGCATTTATATAGAATCTGAAGATCTGACAGTGAGAACAAGAATGCTTTCCTACTACTTATTTTTAAAAGGATGGAAGGGCAGGATCTACTAGTATCATATATACCCATAATCTTGGTAGTTGGACATGTCAGGTTATACGTAAGAGGAGAGAATAAATTTCCAAATACATACTTCCCTAAATCTCACCATTCTTTACACTTCAAAATAATTGATTACTTCTGTCATTACCTTTTTAAAAATTCCCAAATTTTAGATACTTTTTCTTTCATAAAGAGAATGTGTGACAACATTCAGGGAAAGCTTTCTTCATTAATACTGCTCATAACAGAAATATCAGTCATGTAAATTAATCACTAAATGGGTTAAATAAAGTTGTGGTTCAAAAATCCTAGAAAACATACTGCTTGCTTCTAAAGATGTGTAGAAGCTTTGCAAAGCTTAATCTTTGAATCTAAAGTTTTATAAACACAAAACATTCACATATACTTCATTTCATCTTCTTCTTCTACTGTTTCTACTTTCCTTGGTAAGTCTTCAAATTTAAATGCATCATCCCCACTAAGAAAAGGATGTACATGGTAAACTTAAATTATCTCTTTGCAAAATAATAGCCCTTTTGCTTAATTTTAGTACTCTTTATATTAGAACCCTGTTCATTGTTTTATTCCAAACAATAAACTTTGCCAGTTTCATTTGAAGGTAATATTTATCTGTCAGCAGGGAAGAATGAATATAACAAATTCTATTATGTTCAACTATTCTCTCACTAAATATAAATTTACTTCAAAGAAATTTTTATCACGAATAAACTTACAGGAAGTTATTTAATTCATGTTCTATGCCTTGGAAACAGAAAGCTAAACAGACCATCTATTGCTACTAACTGCCACCTTGTATGCACTAGTTTTAAGATGTAGGGTTATGTTTATTTCTATTATTTAGTAAAGAAGAAAATGTTCTGGAAAATAAAGGACAAAAAATAATAGTTACTTAGGCCTACATGTATAGCTACACTGTGGTACCATCACTGAACAAGTCAAACTGATCTTAAACTTACTACAAAACCAATCAAAAGCTAACTCTCAATGCCAAGTTGGAAAAACTCTCGCTAAAGGTATCATTCAGAGTTCTCTTCTGGACCAAAGGGATTAAATTTCATTAATAAATGACTTAGAAAATAGAGCAGAGACTAATAGGATATCTGGAAACTTAACCACTATTCTCTGAAGTTAGCAATGTGTAAGAGACAAGACTAAAAAACCACCACTCTAGAATTTGGATTCCGTTTTCACACTAGCTTCATCTCTGAGACCCACTGCTCATCTATTCAGTAAATACAGTGATATTACCTACCCAAAATAAAGATGAGATTAGAGCAAGTATTTTCTTGAATTCTCATAGTAATTAGGAGTATGCTCCTAGACATCTAACCCCTGTGTTAGAACTAAGATTCTAACCTGCATAGCTATGTAACCCTGATCAAATTATTCCATCTGCCTGACTCAATTTCCTCATTAGTGAAATATGGAGAATAATGGCATTCACCTATATGGATTTGACGAAGACAAGTTAGTTAGTGCATATAAAGCCTTTAGAATAGTACCTGACATGTAGTATATGTTCAACCATCATAAAAAACAGCATTATTATTAACACCA